AAAAATGCCCATTTCTGCTACCATGTGATATAATTCTCCATTGGGAATAGTGATAAAGCTAATGAAAACTCTATGTCATCACATACTCTACCTTTTCATATCGCTGGTATTTTACAACTCTTATTGTTTGTGAAATCTCAACACATGTAAGATTCTCCTACAAATGGCGCAGAATATCAGAGGGTGCAGGATCAGCCTCACTCCCCACGCTGTGCCTCAATGTTACAAGAGTTAGAAAATGACGCAGGCAATGGCAACCCCGTGGGACTGACCCGAGCTGGAACAGTGCTCCAGAGGCCTCCATGCCACAACGGCTTACAGGACAGTGAGGCTGTAGTGTCATCTAGCTTGCCCAAATCATACCTGATCTTCAACTTCTGGTACACCATGCACTTTATTTGGACGAAAAGTAAAAGTGGAAGAGGTTCTCTGTATATTTCATCTGTAATTCACATGCTGAGATACTGACCTCTGACTGCTAGGTGATCCAGATGGTTTTACTTTTAATTATGATAAAAAACATATGAAACCAGGTAAGTTTTTTAAAAGAAATTGTGTTTTCAAAAGATTTTCAAAAGAAATTGTACATCAAAAAAAGACAAGTGTGTTAAGAATGCAATTCAGAATGACAGCTAACAAGAGAAAATTAAAAATGTATCCCTTTATTTTATAATAAATACTCACATTCTCCAAAGGGTATGAAATGACACTGCCTGGGGGTAGAGCCAGTTTGTCTACTCCCTTCACCATCACCATAACCGTAGCCCGAGGACGATGGAACAGGTTACCCACGGCAAGTCCTGGCCAAGAAAGGTCCTAAACATTGAATAGCACAAAATGGTGCTTAATTATCAAGTCAGGAAACTATCTCCCCAATAACATCTAAGTAAGCAGAGTTAAGGGGTTCTGGGATGATGCTGGCAAGGAAAATCCACAGAGAATGTAAACATTTTATTTATGGTATTATAGTAGTGGCAATCTCCTAACCAAGAATGCTGATTTCTACCCTCTTCACTTTCTTTAAATTCTACAGATTTGAAACAAAGTCTAATGGTAAGTCATCTCAAACCTTTTGTGGGAAAATGCAGGCAAGCACACAAAACACAGGTAGTTTTCAAATTCTAGATTGCAAAAACTTTTCTCTTCATGTAGTCATCAACATTTTCTTCCCCCACATCATTTTTTGCCCTTACCTATAGACAGCATCACTTTTATCTTTCACGGTGACACAGCAAGACTGTCATTAACATTTCTCTTTAGATTAAGCTCTTTATAAATAAAATAATTCCTGCTGAAAGTAACTCATATTAGTTTACTAATAATTATTTCTCTAGGTTAACAGCCATTTGTAGTCAAATTTAAGGTTGTAAAGAACTAGGTACAAATTTCATCCTTAAATGTAAACAAATAATCACGTTCACTTTGGTTGCCCAAAGTCTGCAAAGAAGTTAGGGGCTCTACCCTTAGGCCTGGCAGCAAAGCAGTTCCAATGCAGAGGTTCTGGTTTTAAGGGCGCTCAGGATCGATGCTATCTAAAGACTACATCCAAAGGCACTAAACTTACAAAGTGGAAGGAGATAATGATAGCAAGACAGAGCAAGCTGCATTTCCTTTCTTCTCAGCCCTTAGCTTCAGATCTCTTGTACTGACGGGATCTAGGCCCCTTCCACTACAATAGATTATAACTTCATTCTAGGAAACCAAGGTCCTTGGCTGCTCCTAGGTCACTGACCACACTGTTTTTCTAATCTCAAGCAAAATGCATATACATTTTATCATTCATAGCAAATCTATCATCTGTACTAAAAAAAATATAATCCTATTAATAGTAGGAAAGATGCATTTTCTTATATACAAAAAATTTCATTACTATGAGTAATGATTTATAATAATTTGGTTTCAGAAGCCAAGCTTGAAGCACTTATCCAAAATCTCCCCAACTACAAAAGAGCTTTATAACTTTTGTAATCTGTACCAAATGTATCTTATGTTTGTTGCTTTCTCAGGCTATTAGCAGAAATCAACAAAAATGTTCTTAGAAGCAGCTCCAATCGTTTTTAAAAAAATACACATACTTCTTTCACAGAGAAGCCCATGGACAACGCAGCCACATCTGGGATTCGATCTCCTGGTATAGGCCAATTTCCATTTCGGAAAACAACGGACCCTGGTGATCTTAGTATAATAAATTCGTTCCCCAAAACACCTGAGAAGAAAACAGATTAGTAAATGAATTATCGGCATCATAATCTTTTACACCCACCTTGACGATTATTAAATATGTAAACTAAAATAAAATCTTAAGGGCTCACTCCCCCACTGGCTGACTGAATGGACCCCCTCTTGGCCAAAACTAAATTGCCTGCCTCAAGGAGGGAGGTCAGACATACCTCATCATGCCCCGCTCCCTTATTGGGGACATCCTTTGTAACCCATTAACAGCCCTAAGGGTATGCAAGACAGACCTGTAGGTCCCCAATGTACACAACAAATACATGTCTGGTGGGTTATCTCTGATTAACAGCTCCTTATGTTAAAACATTCCAAGCCTTTAGACAAAGCTTCGTGTCTTTAACCAATTACAAGTCAAAGAATCTTTAAACCTACCTGTAAGCCCCGTCCCCCCTTAAAGATGGCCCACCTTTTCAGGCCAAATCAATGTATGCCTCCCACGTACTGATTTATGACTTTCCCTGTAAGCCCTGTCTCCCTGAAATGTATAAAACCAAACTGTAACCGAACCACAGCGAGTCCACTTGCTCAAGGCTTCCTGGGTGTGGCTCCGGGTCATGGTCCTCAAATTTGGCTCAGAATAAATCTCTTTAAAATTATTTTACAGAGTTTGGCTCTTTTTTACTGTTGACAGATATAATACATGTTTCCCTAAACTCCACTGACTTAACATACTAAATTATGATTGGATAAAATACTGAATCCTAAACATGAACAAATACTTTTTCAAAGTATCACTCTAAGAACTTAAGTCCATACATTCCACTGGAACAAAAGTACAATTATAAGGATTCTTTTAATGATACAGATGCCTTTCTGCAGTGGCCCTTAACAGGGGCATGTGGCAATTTGTCAAGAATTAGAAATTAGTGACATTTCTCCAAAATTTAAAAAGCAAAAAACAAAACCCTGGTACAGGCTAAAAAGGAAAAAAAAATAAACTTGAAATCACTACATTATTGCTACCATCAACCCTCTCTACAAAAATGCAAATTCATAAAGTTCCTAGTATTTCACTATAAGACTTTAGCAGGTCGGTATATCTTAGCATACGTCACATCTTTCCTTATGTCCCATAGGCAAACCTAGTGAAATGAGGACTGTCAAATAGGGAATTACACGTTATCAGTGGAAATATAAAAACACTTTATACTTTACAAAGTCCAGGAAATAGTATTTGCAGTTGACATATCAAAAGGGTGAGAAAAGGTATTCTGTAAGGATAAAGTCAACTAGTCTAAGGGTTTGGGGCCTGGGATTAAAAGATGAAGGATGAGAATAATGGGACTATTTTATAAGCCCTCCAGGGCTAAGAATGAGATATTTGGCCTCTTCACCCATTATGTATTAACCCAACGATGTCTAGGTTACACAGGGACAAGTAATTAATGAAAACTTTTGGGTTCCATGAAAAGATTAGCTCCAAATCCAAAATAAATCCTGGCCACACCTAGTATGGGAAAATTAGACTTTAGTAAAGCATCAGTGTTATTCTCTTGACTTAAGGAAAGCACCACTTACAGGGTATGGGAATAAAATCGGAAGCAACAGTAAATGTTTTGGTGTTGCAGTATTGGCAGTAAATAAAAGGCCTCAGGATGGTGCTGATACAACAGGAAGAGTTATGAGTTTCAATTCAGCACAGCTGTCAGAGCAGGAATTTCCAAATTATACTAACTGAAGGCAGTCAAAAAAAATTAACAGAACGGAATGGTCTTTTGCAACTGATAAACATCTTGGTTTGCTGAAATGGTAGTCTTTGCAAACTCTAAGAAAAATGGGGCAGCAAGAGACCTATACTTTCCAAGTACCATACACATTTAAAGAACCATATTTTTGGCCAGGCATGGTGGCTCATGCCTGTAATCCTAGCACTTTGGGATGTTGAGGCAGGAGGATGGTGGGGCATGCCTGTAGTCAGGAGGCTGAGGCGGGAGGACAGCTTGAGCGCAGGAGTTTGAGGTTGCAGTGAGCTATGATGATGCCACTGAACTCCAGCCTGGGCCACAGAGTGAGACCTTGTCTTAAAAAAAAAAAAAAAAAAAAGAAAAAAAGAACCATATTTTGATCTGGAGATATCCTTGTTTTGAGACATGGCCCTACTCACTCAATCCCAGCAAAGCTATACCAAATAACTTTGCCTCAACTTCATAGTTAGATTCAACTTCCATGCCTACACAACAGTCCTTCAGGAGCCCAGAGCTTTAGAAAACCTTAGAGTCATGGACTCCTATACTAAAAAAGGTCATCTTGTCCAAACTTCTGCTTACTGCAGGTATCATGCCTCAGGGATACCTGGCAGAAAGTCACTCTCCTCTACTTGAATACTACCAGTGATGAGGGACACCACCTCATTTTACAAACACTATGTTTGCCAGCAATCAGCTTCATTGTCCCAACATTCTAGTCCTTTGAAAAATTTTTCTTGTACTGAGTTGAAATGGGCTTCCTCACTTTCAACTTCCTATGCTATCACTCCCCACTCAGTCTCACCAGATAACCTCATCTCCAGCTTCAGAGAGAAGGCAGAGGAATTCCTCGAGCTACTACCTGCTTCCTCTCCCCACCACAAATGTATCTGTACAAGCCCCTACCTGGATCTCCTCTCCCTCCAGACATGAGGGCAGGGATGTGTCCCTCCTCTAGCCTAAGACCATCCTGTGTTCAGCCTTCTTAGGACCTTCATTCATTCACCTTCATTCATTCATTGTTTATTAAGCTACTATTCCGGGACAGACAACATATGAGGAGTTAGGGCTGAGAACAGTGCCTGACACATTGGTGCTAAATAAATACTTGTTGAGTTAATGAATGAATGAAGTCACACCTTGAACTACCAATTTTCCCCTTTCAATTAATTGGCCCTTTCACTTCATCATAAAAATACAACTGTGGTATTCCTATTCTAAAATTAAAAGACTTCCTTTGGTCCTACTGGTCTCCACCAGCTACCAGCCTCTGCTTCCCTTCAGAGGAAGAATCTGGGAAGAGTAGTCAACCACCATTTGCTTCTCTACTTCTTCATATCATGTTTACTACCTAAGCCACAGCTTCTGACCCCATCATGCCACTGAAACAACTCACCAAATCCAAAAGACAATTTTCAGCCCTTAATTTATTTAACTTCTCAAATAGTAGTAGTAGTCTTCACAATCTAATCATGAGAAAACATCAGACAAACTCTGACCATTACTATTTTTAAAAAGATGAAATAAAAAAGTAGATATAGAGCCAGGTGCGGTGGTACGTGCCTACAATTCCAGCTACTTGGGAGGCTGAGGTGGGAGGATCGGCCTGAGGATGAGGCTTGAGGCCAGGAGTTTGAGACTAGCCTGGGCAACATAGCTAGATCCTGTCTCAAAAAGAAAATAGATACAAATGGAAGTTCTAGTACATTTTCCTGGCATCCAAATAGATCACCTTGCATACTCCACTTTGGAGATCTGAGGGCTCCATTCTTGACCCTCACTGCTTTTCTAGTCTACATCTCTCTCCCTGGCTGACTCTATCTACTTTAAGACTGCAAACACCAAAAACACACTGATGGCTCCCAGATTTTTATTTCCAGCCTAGATTTCCCTTGAGCCTTAGACCTACATACCCAACAGTCGGCTGAACATTTCCTTCTAAGTCTCACTTCAAACCCAACGAGTTCAAAACTGAATTCGCCATCTTTCCACATGCTTCTCCTGTATTCTTGATCTTGAAGGATGACACCACTTCCCACCTGGCAGCTGGAACCAGCCATCTTTAAATCCTTCCTCAGCACCACAGCCAATTACCCACTGAATCTGTTGATCTTTTTTTCTTATTATCTCACAAACCCTTTCCCTTCCATGTCCTGTACATACTCCTCAGCCCTCACCAGGTTCGCTAGAACTTGCTGCCTTATGACCCGTCATGCCACTCTCCAATCCAGCCTTCCCATCACTTTTTCAAAATATAGCTTTGTTTGCTCATCCTTCTGCTTAAATGCCTTCGCGCACTGCCCAAAGCCTTCCAGGCAAAATCCAAAACATAACACCCAAGGCACCTCACTACCCTTATTTCTGGGATCTCCTCAACTTGACCCCTATGCATTCCAGCCCCACCAAACTATTTGCCCTTTTGCTCTCACATCTCTGTGCTTTTACACATACTGTTCTGTCTCAAATGCCTTTTTTTCCCACCTCAACCTTTCACATATTTGCCCTGGGAGGCACCTCCCCTGGGGAAATTTCCCTCAGCCTCCCAGTCTGGGCTAGAGGGTAAGTGTCCTTCCCTCTGGGAACTCCACCACAGTGTGCTATGATCTTCTATGAAGGGAAGATGGAATCACTCAACTGAAAAAAAAGACAGTGGGTCCTGCTTTTGTCCTTGGGGGTATCAGTGACCAAATCAAGTACCTGTTCTACATGATATCCCTTCAAATTCCATGTGTTTGCCCTGGGCCTTTCCTCTTCAGGCTCAATATCTGAATTTCTTCATGTACTCCTCATGACCTGGTATTCATAACCGTAGTTCCCCTCCTTTCTCGCTAGTTCCCTTGTTCTCTCTCTTGTTTGGTAACACTGTTTTAAAGGATTACTATTTTTTCCTCAAATAGAGAAGTCAGAGCTCTTAAAGATGTCTTCCATTACATCACATTTAGTCATTGTGGAAAATAATAACTTAACCTCATCTGACAAGACCAAGCAACGCAGAAGCTGACAGGATCAGATTCTCGTTCTGTAGGAACTAGACTATTCTAGCAAGGAAAGCATGTTCAAACCATGTACAGAAGCAACTGTTTTATCTCAGACCAAAAACAAACAAAAAACCCTCAATGAATCAAAATATTATCAGTCATAACATTAAAACATGGACTTTTAATAGACAGATGTTCAGTTAAACCACAATATCAAAGGGAAGATTTTTTAAATTTCAAAAACTCAATTAAAATTAAAAATTTCCCCAAAGTATCTGGGTAGATCAGAATGACCTTTCCAGAGCCAG